CTTTGGTGTTACTATACTACTATACTGTCTATGGTTAAACAGGGTCCAAATTGATAGGGAGTAAAACACGGAAGTGGAATGGCTGTCCATGCATTGACCAATCACACAAGAGCTCACAAACACCAAAGAAATATTTGTTGTTGTACTTAACAAAGGGATTTGGCACTAAAAACAATGGAACGTTTATAGGCTTAACGTTGGATTTAGATCGTGTTATAATCCAAATCCCCTACTAAGACTTGTAAGTACAAATTTTCATATGATTTGTCAAAAAATATTTTACAGTCATGAAACACATATCGGTGAATGATACTAGCCACTTAAGACTTAAGTTTGCGGATCAGGATTTTTTTTGAGTCGGGGGTGTTTGCAATTGATTATTCCAAAAAGTTCATGCCTGAGGCCAGGAAAAACAAATCTCTGTTTCTCGTTTCATGGAAATTTTAAAATGAGGCGGCGAGGCGATTTGATTTTTTTTGAATACTGAGTTAAAATTTGAGTACAAGCGGATTTTGGAATGCTTTAGAAGAAAAACAAATTGTTCAAGGCGCATATTTCAAAATGATGCGCGCGGAAACGAGAAACAGAGATTTTTTTTCTCATGATTTTAAAACAAAAACAAACAAAACACGTTTCCATTGCTATAGGCGATGTCCATTACGGAAGAGTCTTTGTGGCTTTCCTTCAGTCATTGGCAGATTTACGTGATAGTGGTTTTCAACCATCATTTGAATCATGAAACATTTATGAATAAATATATCGTATACATAATTATAAATGAGTTTCATTGGAATCAACACAGTGACATCAAAAGCACAGTCGCTCTGATTGCTCACATGTTTTTTGGTCGATCGACCCCAGATTTATGCAAATGAGTATTCTATTGTCTCGGATGAAATGTTTGTTAACATTTTTGACTTAGCAATTGCTATTTTTGGGACAGATATTCTACTCTCGAACGCTAAAACTAATATCACAAACCGAAAATAGGCAAGAGTAATAATTTGACAGTTGAATTAAAAATTTAGAAATTTAAATCGCCATAGTCGTTGCACAGATCGCTTTTTGGATTTTGTGTAATCAAATGTATTTTCACTAGCTGTATACGTTGCATGGGACGCATATCAATCATGATGTGGGGCGACAACTCACTCAAACTCCTTTTACTTACATTAATATTTTTTTTTACAGAAAAAGAAATTATCAAGAAAAGATAAAAAGAAAAACACTGTGGGTTACTGCAAACACAAAAAACGTTTAAAGGTATATAAAGGCAGCAGTCAACT